GGTCAGCTCATCCCCTTCGTCTTCGCCTTCGAAATCGAACGAAAATTGAAAACTGAGAATCAAAGTGTTGCAAACCTAACTGACCATTCCTGAATAATCCAAATCTAGATACTGAATCGACGAGAGAGAGAGTGCGGATTTCTCTGAAAAGCCCTAACATTGTTAGGTTGAGCTACCCAACAATGGCACTGTCGCAGTGGAAGGAAGCTATACTCGAAGGTGTATTCATGGAGATTGAGGAAGGAGTCGTGATGGAGAAGAATCTCGAGAGGTTAGAGAATCTAGTGGAGATTCTACACAAAGAAGGTTCTAAAGTACCCAAATCAGTGAAGGAAGCGTACTGTCAAGTAGCTGTTGAATGCACAGCGAAGTGTCTCGCTTATGAGAAAGATGCAAAAGAAGCTTACACTGAAGCAATCAGATCGATATGGCTTCGCAGGATTATACCTCTATGCGATAAGGTTAGTTGTTTGGTTACTCGTGACCTCTTGAGTAGCTGTCGAAGATTATGGTCGGCCCACAATGACGAAAAGGCTTGTGAGAATCTGAAGGATGAGAATACGAGAGATAAAGCTTTGGTTTCTTTGAGGAAGGTTGTTTCAGAGCTGCATCCAAACTTTGATTGTGCTTATGATGATAGAAATGAGGACATGGATGAATCGGAAGAGTTGGAATCTAGCGAAGACACTGGTGAGACAGAGCCAATGGTTGAAGCAAGAGAAATAGAGGTCAATCAAACCGAAGCTGTGGAAGTAGATCAAGGTCTGCACTTTCTCATCTTTTATTAACTTTGTTACATTGTAATTGTGGTTTTGTGGACACTGAAGGGTTTGATGTAATTGTGGTTGAGTTTTTCAGAAGCTGCACTTGAAAGTCCTACTACTAAAGAGCCAGAAGCTGAATCTCCACCCCGTCAAATAAAGACCATTTCCACTGCAATTTTTAACAGAGCTCTCGCAGAGCTTAGAGCTTCTAAAATCGACCTGGTGAATGCTTTGAAAGAAGGACGATCTTCAAACTTAAACAATGAGAAGATTATAGAGCAAGAAAATGACGTTGTTAATCCTTCTGCAACAAACACTGGACCAAAGGCGAGCTTGATGGAGCGGAGAAGCACAGCACACACTTTTGAGGTAAATCGATTCCTTTTTTGTTTCATCATATCGTCTATGTTACTGTCTTCGGTCTTCCTGTGTTTAAATAGCTAGGTTGATGGAACACCTGATTCATTCTTTCATTTTCTTTTTTTCCTTTTTTCCATTTTGGCTGACCAGTCTTGCTGCCCTGGTGGAAAATTCGTATTGAGCTTTATCTTGTTTGAATTGATCTATTTGCATGTTCCATTCAGGTGCTATAGCTGAGCTTGTTTTTCAATTTTTTTGTTTGTTTGATTAGTGGGAAGACTCCATTGATGATTCAGATGAAGAAATGGGTGATGGTGGTGAAAAGAATAATAAATCAAGTCGCAAAAAAATTGTCGTGCCTCCTTTGAAAAGAAAACAAAGTGTAGAAGGTGCTAGAAGGATAAACGTACCTTGGAGTACTGCAGAAACGCTGGCCGTACTGAAAGGCTATGAAAAGTACTTGAAACCTGAAAGCTCTCTTATATGTTAGATGAACATATTTCATGCATTTCTATTGATTTGATGTATTCTTTTGGTATTCAGGTATGGTGCAAACTGGAAGCGGATCAAAGATGAGTGTCCAATTCTAGAGCGCAGAACTAATGTACACAATTTCACTTATTTTTCTGCTCGTTATTCATTTCTGTTAGAGTTTTGTATTTTTTCATGCCTCTAATAGTAGACACATTATCTCACAGGGTGATATTAAAGATAAATTTCGAGTTGAGATGAAGCGTCAAGAGCGACATCCTTGAGTAGGTGAGTTACACATAGACATATTCTAATGTACTATCGTCGCATTGGTGACCTTTAGAAGAGAAAAACAATGAAGTAGTGCCGCACTAGCATCTCAGCTCCCTGATAGTCTGAAACTAAACTGCCTAGGTGGTAGAAAATGATATGAACTCTCACAAACAGTGAGCCAAGTTCTTGGAAACCAATGGTCTCACAAGTTAGGGAAACTCTACGTGTGTGATATTTATGTTGCTTCTTTATACAGAATATGTTGCCCTCGATTCTCATAAAATACTATCAACTTATTTACGTTTTAAGCATGTAAAAGGGGCATGCTATAAAAGGGGCCAATTTGAATATCCAGGAATGATGGGTTTTATGATTCTAAAGTTTTGATCACTAATGTGATAACAAACCAAGCTGCACCAATTCATGGCAATCTAACTTTTGAATGGGTTCGTTAAGCCTGTGAGGTTAGGAGGATTGGTGTTGTAATAATAGCTGATGATCTTCCTTATCAGCTGTTGACATGACAAATCACAAATGTATATCACTTCATTTTAACATTTTTAAATTTTTTTATTCTTTCCTTGTAGGAACTGGAGTACTGGAGTAAGGATCAGACCGTTTTTTGTGTAGACGAGTAACGAAAGCTGAACGATGATGTATTATGGCATCTATGGAATGTAAAAAACTGGGGTATCATTTTGTTGCTTTTTTGCCTTGAAGACCCGTAAAAAATTGTGCATATGATGATGGTATGATAATTTCTAGTGAATCGTTTTGTTATGTAAACTAGTTTCCTTAAGGAGCAGTTCTTTGCGGTTTATATCAAACCATTGTGGTTTCTATTGGCTTGGTTTATGCAATTGAGGGAAATGTCTTGGATCCAAATTGAGTTTTTGTGTTTCAATTAATGTTGTGGTTGATCAATTCCCGAGAAATGCCCATACACAGTACCAACTGTATAAATGGATGGTAGAGGTAGGAAGATGGGCATTGGGAAACAGCAGCAAAAACAGTGG